TGGGTCTCTCAACTTAAGGAAAGTCGAATTTTGAAGATGGCGTCGTAAGCTTTTTTCTGCCTATTAATTTTTATTATTTTGGCATACGATAAGAGACCAATTAAAAAAAAAAACACAAAGGAGGCCTTAGAAATAGTAAACAATCCAATCATAAATTTAAACAAGGGGAACCCTTTACTTTTATATTTTCCATTTAAATAATATACACGGGCTATTAATATACACGGGTTATTAACATAAATAATTAAAGATACATAATAATTACTACATATTTCTAATGCTTGAAGTACAAATAAAACATTTTTAAATATACATACCACTGGCCCTCGCGCCACTGGCAAATAATAAATAAAATTTTTTCTTTGGATGTATGTATGTACATATGTGACCTGGTCTACGAAAAGGGAGCTTACGTGCGAAAACTAGTTTTCTGTGAAAAAGCTGTTAAAAGTAAGCAACTCGTTTCGTCAGTTTCTCATTATCTCGTTAATTGTTCTCCGCGCCGGACGTCCAGTAAGTGTTGTTGTTGGTCCAGTAAGTGTTGTTGTTGGTCGGAATATTATTATAGTTCATGTTGTTGTTGTTGTTGTTGTAGCAGCATACAAGTTCCCCAAAGACTTTTTGGGGAGTGTTGCTGGAGTGACAGTCCTTGGCCAGATATAAATCTGGGTCGTTCCGGTTACGTAGACCCGACTGTCGTGGGAACGACATGTAAGTTGCTAGTGTGGAACATTTAAAAAAGTAACACTGAAGAAGTGACGTTTACTGTTTCTGTTGATTATCGTCTTCGCATTTCGCATGAAATGAAACATGAGTGTTGATGAGGAGTTCCGTGCCGTATACGGACAATATTTCCATGAAAAGGATGATGAAAACGATGATGAAAACTATGAAGAGAGCGATGATGATGAAGACGAAGTATATGTATCTCAGGCAGAAGATGATACCGAACAAACTTTTGTTAAGATGGACCTTGTTGTTGTTGTTGTTGTTGTAGCGGCTACAACAACCCCGCCCAGATCGGTTGGTATCTCAGTCGTTGTCGTCAAGTTCCACTAACGGCAACCCTAGGAAGCGTGCAGCTTCTGTGGGATCTGTCCACAGGGACAAGGCCGTTAGGGTTGTCGGGTTTTCCGGGCATGCGAAGAGATGGTTCGAGTCATGTGGGGTCTCTCCGCATGCCGGACATTCGTTCGGCACATCCTCGTTCAACCTACTCAAGTAGGAGTTTAACCTGCTGCAGTAGCCGGAGCGAAGTTGAACGAGTGTAGTGCGTGTCTCCCGAGGCAGATGAAGCCGGGGGTGGTATGCCTAGAACGGCATTCACAGGTCTAGAGTCTACATAACTCGAGACTGAGTCCCTTTGAATGCCGTTCAGGGCCTGTCTGTAAGCTGTTGGGTCCAGAGGTTGCTTAATGAACCTCTGGACTTCGTCCGTCAGTTCATAAAGATGCCTCCTGACGTGCCTAGGCGAGGGCTCCTCTGCAAGCAGCTGTCTGCTTGAGTGGCCACTTCTGTGGCTCCCGATCAGGAACTGCTTGCAGAGCATTATATTATGCTCCTTTACAGGGAGCATTTGCGCCTCGCCGTGCAGGTGGTGTTCAGGCGACATCAAGAGGCATCCTGTCGCTGTCCTGAGTGCAGTGTTCTGTACAGTCTGTAGCTTCGTCCACTGCGTCCTACTTGTCCCTGGCGACCACACTGGCGCTGCGTAGTTCAGAATCGGCCGGCCTATTGCCTTGTATGTTGCCAGCAACGTTTCTTTGTCTTTGCCCCAAGTACTAACGGCTAGCGACTTGAGGACCTTGTTGCGGCTCTGTACTTTATTGACAATAGCGGTTGAGTACGCAGAGAAGGAGAGCAGGCTGTCGAATGTTACTCCGAGTATTTTGG